CCGAGAAATAACGAAAAAGATGAAAAAGAAAGGAACTAAAAATAGTACGTCTGTATTCGATTCAGTTATTATATAATTTAGTCAAGGCCGCTCAGATTAAATATAGAAGACTACTCTTACATAAAACATGATCGAGAGTATGATTAGATATTAATGATGTGTTGTTTGCGTCGGAGAGATTTATTTTAGTTAAGTATAATAATTTATGGAAGTAGGCCACATGTAGAATTATTACAATGACTTAAATTGAGTATTAATGGTATAATTTTTGTAGTGTACATACCTACTTGATATGCGTGAACTTCAGGACGTTTACGTACAATTATTATTATGTTATTCTTTATCTATCTGGATATAGATTTTATCATCTAGCTGATTCCTGAGAAAAGTATTTGTTTTACGCAGCATCAACATATTTTACATAAAACAGTTTCGAACAAGTGAAAGCTTCTGATTAAGCACAAACAATGTGTAAATATTCAACCGTCTTAGTACTTATTACATGTTTCAAGGCAACATTGAAAATGTTTTTATAAGTCGAGATTACCGCACCATCTTCTTGGTGAGAGTTTAAAAGCGATCGTTAGAAAAAATTCTAGCACCTTCAGAGAAACAGCAACACAACATTTAAGTAGTTGGGTTAAGAATCCTCTTTAGAGTATTCAAATATTTATCTTAATATAAACTCGATAGAGTTTGTTATCTTATTACGTATTCATAAAAGCTTATTCGTTAAATGCCCTCTAAATAAGTCTACGAGTACTGAAATTTAAATCGTAAAGTTAAACTTTATTCCTTAATTAAAATTGGTATTTTATAATAACTTCAGTACAGTGGTAATTTTATAATCTCCTAAGCAGGCTACACTCGTTGCAAGCAAGTGTGTTATTACGTGAAGCATTTTCAAAGTTCTGTGGTAGTAAGCAATTTTATCATTATGTAAAGCTAATTGAAAATTCAGTTACCAAAAAGGATTCATTAAATCCTTTTTGATCATCGATAACATTCCTTACCCACATTTTTATTTATTAACCTAACAGCATTCTTCGGATTATAACCGATATTTTAATATAAATATTAGTGACCTGTTTACGGTTAATAATATATATTATTATTATTTTTTAGTTTATTTAATTCTCTTCTAATAATAATATTCACTGAAAAAGCAAGCTCTATAATTGAGCATCATTAGACTTTTGTAAAATGTGCTATTGGTTTACAATTGAATGTGACACCATGGAAAAATATAGTGAAAGTGATGCCTATGGCAAGTGCTTCACATAGTTTTGTAATAAAATTAAAATAGAATGTCATACGTAATCACGTAAAATGTCAATAGCGGTAAAAAAGTAGCAAGCAGCGCACGCGCATGAGGACTCATCGGCCACACTAATGAGTCAGTGACATCACTATAATAATGTACATTATTGTGTCACACAGTGTCACTTAATATGAACCGTGTCACTTAATATGAGTCCATTCATGATTCACATTTCAATAAAATTCTTTCTGAGTAACGTATGTAAAATGTTACCGCAATTCTTAAGTAGTATAATCAACTTTATAGTGTCTGCTCTCTTGGCAATTTACATTACTATTACATGGTGTATTGCTTGGCAACAGACCATTAAAATTATTACTGTACAATATGCATTTTAATAACTAAAGCATATGTCTATTTCGCAAATCTATAACATAGGTTTTATTATTCAAAATAAAATTGGCTAAAACTAATCTAAAATAACGAAGAAAGAAGATATTCAGTTCAGCAATATATATTAATTGAATCTACCTACTGAAAAGTATATGAATAAAACAAAAATATGTAGTCATCACATTTTCTCGTTCACTCCAGGTATACAAAACACTTCAGGCGTGTGTAATGATTAAGGCTTGCGTAATTGTAACGACAAGATCAACAAGTGGGTATGCAGGGAAAGAAAAAAAAAACAGCATACGTCTTATGTAAGAAAAAAAAGTTCGGCTTACAAAATATACAACCAGTACTGCTAGTTAATGAAATCCAGTTCGCGCATTATACGCTGTATATTTAAATATATTAAGGTTTTATCAGTTTCCTTCTTGGTTTTGAAATCCTCTGAAATTGTGTTCTTAGACCAACAAAATATCACTTATAAAGTAAAAAGTACTTACGTACTTGGTCATATCATATCGATAAATTGATAATATAAAAAGGCATTTATTACAATCTCCTCTTATTTTTAGTCGTTATATTTTAAGATAAAAAGGAAATGGAGTTTCGTTTAAAATACCTATATACATTGCGTGTGTTCATAATCTTCTTACAACTGTGCGGGGATTCGTTTATATAATGTCGTGAAAGTCGATTTGTAAGCAAGAGGTTTTACGAAGACGTACCGAATTATAACAGCGGTGCAACAATTATTTAAGATGTTGTGAGGTTTCACAACTGTTGCCGTGGTTCCAATGAGTATCCTTTTAACATAACCGAACAATGAAAATTATTTAAATATTTTATTATGATATGAAAGGAGGATCGTTTTGAACATTGATTTCTCTTTTGAATATAATGCACTTGATGTTCAGATCAAAACAAAAGAAAACTCAAGGGCGCTCCGGTGCGTTGCTTTGTTATGCTCTGTTTTCTCAATTTCCTCACGAACATTATGGCTATGTGATATTTATTATGCAGTACTGTTATATTTTTATATTTAATAATACCTCTTATGCTATGAGTAAAGAATCAAAGTGAGCTTCCACTTCAATCTTTATAACTAATACCTACTTGTATTTGTTTTAAAGTACCCGTGTTATTACATTCCAATGTTATTTTGCTATACAATCATTAGTTCGAACTATTTATGGAATTTTAAAAGCGAAGAAAAATATTCTCTAATATCCAATGTGAATTATTCGAACTGTTTTGATGAGAAAAATAGTTTTTTTTTTTTAATTAACAGATGCGCTCCTTTGGGGATGTTTCCAGTTCAGCGGTTAGAACTATAACATTTCTATTTAAGCATTCATATAAAAGTCTTCGTATTAGTTAGAGCGTTCATTCTGCGATTGCGTGGGTTAAGAATTTTCACAAAAGCCGATCATGGGATGGGTTACTAATTTCTATTCAATCTCATCTGTGCCTCAGGTGGTATATCGTCGATTCTCCAGCAAATCGAGCAGCCGAGTCACGGCTGGTTCTATTTCTATTTCTCGGACTTACAAACATTGTTGGGCTGAAAATGATTGCATAAAAGCTTGTTTGTTACAATTTTTTTTTTATCCAACAGCAAACATGTCACCATCCACGTACCGTACAAGGTGCACACGATTCACCACCACCACGTGTCGAAAGTCCACGTCCCAGTGCACGTTCCCGTCGTGAAGGAGGTGCAGGTTATCAAAGAGGTGCCAATTGTGAAACATGTGCCAGTACCGGTGGTGAAGCATGTGCCAGTGCCTGTTATCAAAAAGGTTGAGGTCGAGAAGAAGGTGTACGTGCCAGTGCACCATCACGAGTCTCATGTCGAGGAGCACCACGGCTGGGAGGGAGAGTCGCTGTCGCATGGCTGGAACTGATCTGAGTTGTATTGAAAACGCTTTAGAATAAGGTAACTTTTTCTTTGACATAGTAAAACACGCTTTATGCGTGCCGTCACCGTAAAACGTGTTTTACTATCACCGCTGTCGACGCCGAGATTAAGGTTATGTAGGACTCTCTTCCTACATATCTTTAATTTGTCAGGTGACGCATGTAAAACACGTTTTCGCTCTCTTGAGTAGGCTCATTCAAAATCATACGATCTCCTCCTTTCTTTAGGTATTAGATCCGATATAATATATGATCTTCTATTTTAGAGGTAAAACTACATATATTAATACACAATAAGAGATACGAATAACAAATTAATAAAGAGTTGACAGGATTACTCAAATTATCTGAAATAAGATTCGACACAGACAAAAGTCTCGACCCCAGACTCCGTCTAAAAATAGGGAACGTATAAAATAATTGTATTCTAGAGGTATAGGTATGTTTTACAATGATGTGTATTATTATTTAGTTTACAACTTTTAGGTTAGTCACTAACACACCCGTTCATTTTTAACTAGAAGACCAAGTATTTTGTAAAACAAAGTTCGCAGTATCCAATATATTATTTACTATCTTTCTGACAGTGGTTTCGCTCGCGCGGTCCTGTATCACTACACACTTAGTATAAAACAAATTCGCTTTCTCTGTCCCTTTATCCCTATGTATGCTTAAATCTTTAAAACTACGCAATGGATTTCGATGCGATTTTTTTCATAGATAGGGTGATTGGAAAGAAAGGTTTTTATGTATAATACAAGACCACGTGGGTAAAGCCGCTGGCGGAAAGTTTGTTTTGCATAAAAAACATACTTTTGAATTACCCTATCTATAAAAAAACCCTTATCAAAATCCGTTACGTTATTTTAAAGACCGAAGCATAGAAAAGGACAGACAGACGGAAAGTCACTTTATTTTATAGATTCAGACTAGTTGATACATCAATACAGATGTATCAACTAGTCTGAATTGGAAGAATACAACCTAAAATGTAATTTTTGTCGACAGGTATTTTATAAGTGAACACATCCAAGATTTTGGAGACTCATCTGTTCAAGTGATAAAATAATGTTACCATTAATTTTGTTAAATAGGTATAAGAGCCAAAGACAATAAAAAAGATGTGTACAGATTTTTTTTCCAAACGTTATGTATCATTTTATTTTCCTTCCTCATGATATTAAAAATAATAAAGTACTACCCTTCTTTTCAGTGGTTTAAAAAAATAAATTAAAGAGAGATAAATAAATAAGCAACGTTGAATAATTTTCATACAAAACAATAAATAAAAAACAATATCTCGTGAATAAAATATCGTCGGTAAAACTGTTACCCATCACCTAATAAGTAAGGACTTATTTTTATATAATTAGCTATTGAATCACATCAATAAGCACTGTCACAAAATATGGCAGACACTCAGTATAATCTACCTAACATCAACTTCTCTGATAGCGTAACACGCTAGCTCGTATGTTGTAAATGCCACCACACTGGTCACTTGCGCCTTACAAATTGTTATCTTCCAACCTCTGAAAAGACCTTTAACACCTTCCGATTGGTAAGAGTCTCTCAGGCAACTTATGAGGCTCTTACATTTTATTAAGTTTCTCGATGTGCTCGATGTATTGTACTTTCTGTCCTCTTTATGGGACTGAAACAAAAAATGAAATGTTTTTAGTATTAAACTATTAACGCAAACGCCTACTTGATGAAGAATGAAAAAACTGACCAAGTGCGAGTCGGATTTGCCAAGGGTACCATTATTGTTTCGGAGGAGTATGGTAACTAAAACTGAGATACGAGAATTTTATAGTCTAGATTGAGGAAAGATTGATTATTTGTAATGGACCAACTTAAAGATCGTGTTTAATAATTCTTTCACTTATAGAAAGTTACATCATACGCATTATAGATAAGTTCTATAGGTACGACACAAGTTGAAATTTACATGAGCGAAGACATGGGAACACAGCTACTTCAAAATAAATATTAATCGGAAACAGTTCCTGTCTCTTTATTACGAGCTTTAACAAGATTGAATACCTAATTTATACCATAGATTTAATAGCAGAATAATGCTTAGACTAATAGATGCACTTTCTATCCTGGGTGAATGCCAGTCGCCGATGTAATATCTGTTACACAACGATGATTCAGAGTATATATCATGGGATGTTTATCATCATTACTGAGCATTATTGACAGTTAATGCATGCGGGAAGTAGGAGCTGTCAGACGACTTCAGTGCTACCTCAGTATTATCATTAACGTGCTCGGAAAAGTAATGACGGTGAACAGTTATGTCCTTTTGTCTTTCCATTTATTTTCTAACTAGCTTTCCGCCAGTGGCTTCGCTCGCGTGGTCATGTATTATACATAAAACCTTCCTTTTGAATCATCAATCCCCTATCTTTGAAAAAAAGCCGCATCAAAATCCGTTGCGTAGTTTTAAAGATTTAAGCATACATAGGGATATATAGGGACAGAGGAAGCGACTTTGTGTTATACTACATATGTAGTGATTAATTTCGAACTTATTTGATAGAAGGCGCCCTTCCTCTAAACCCTCTCCCACAATGAGGCCTGATTTTATATAACCATATTTTTGGAATATCAGATATTTTTCTTTTATTTAATTTAGGGATTTTTAATATATAATGAATATATAAATATATAATGATATAATGCGTATAAAAAGATTTGTGAAGCTCTGTTTTTAATTCCTTTTTTTTAACTATAAGTAGGTATTACATAACGATGACTTTGCCCCCCCCTCCTGGCATTGGCGCCCGGTGCAAACGCCCCCACTTGTTCTTATCTGGCTCTGCTGCCGTTATTATAATACAACAGACTTACCGCTATTTGGAGCCTTCGTTTTACAAGATCAAATGGGTAAGTCAAAGTCTTGGAGACAAATCCAGCCACTGCACCCGCGACCGAACTGGCTATAAGCAAGTGTTCTGGCTTATACATGTTGCCTGGGCCGTGCCTGCAGTCGTCAGTGGCGCAATCTCCAAGAAATCTGAGGATCAGCGGCTGCATATAACGGAACACGCTGAAGGAAATACCCGCAGCAGGACCCACCTACAAAATAATTTTGTACGGTAGGCATATATTTTTTCAACCATGCTTTCTTGGCTTTATAGGAATGATCTGATGAAAGAAAGCTTGTTCCATGGAGGAAAATAATCTAGTATTTACTAGGGGGTAGTTTCTTACAGTTTTGAGAAACAAAAGAAAATAACACATAACATTCTCCTTGCTATGGTATATTAGGTAGACTCGTACTATTTTGGAAACATGATTGAGAAAATAATAGAATGTATTAAATATATTTTTATAAGAGTTATAAAAAAATAATAGCCATTATTTACAGAATCGTTACCTATTTAAATTAGTACCTACAGTGCTTCAGACAATAAATATATTAGAAATATCATATATACAGACGACATATATATAGAGATTATAAGATGAGTAGCTAAAGCCCCCGTATTATGGAGATTATGAGACAACAAAGGTATTACAACACCCGGACCCGAGACAATATAGAAAAGTTCATCAAAGAAAAAGCGAGAACATCATGCGTAGCTCAAAATTGATTTCAGTAAATGACAGAAGATAAAAATAACCTGTATATTATTAGAGATAGTATATTATTAGATAGATTATATAAAATGCTTTATAAAAGCCACAGGTATTTTGTGATGGATTGATTAAAAGGTAGTGGGTTTGAGTCCCATCTCAGGGTACCTGGGGCTGGTAGTTTTTTAAGCATTTCTCTTAAAAATATTAGTAGATCTAAATCTATAGATTCATTTTTTTATTTAATTAATATTATCATTGAGAAAATATACCTGTATTGGGGCTATAACAAAAAAATATATTATTTTCAAAGAAGAATGGCGAAATCAGACCCCATAATTTTCAAAACCGTACATGGATGGCAATATGACAAATAAATAATATATGATTAATAGATTTTATTTCTACAAAATGGTGAATTTTAATGCCGGGGAACCAAACTAAAATATTAAATGCTGCTAATAAAATTATCAAGATAACAAAACGTCTGACGATAGTGCAAAAACAAAACGCGAAAATCTTCTTAAAAAACGTTCTGGTCTACGCAGAAGTGCTTTAATAAAAAAAAAATATCTTGGAAGTGTTTCATGAATTTTGCACCAGGCAATAAAAGGGTCATCCATTTTAATGGATATTATAGTTTCCTGTAAATTGCAATTAATTCTATTGCTTTTAAAGTACCATTAATACGCTTAATAATCAAATATAAGTTAAAAATAAGATTGTATAGAATAGATTCCGTTGTCTTTAATTGAAAACCACAAAATATTTCAAAGGGTTGTAGTTTGGATGATTTTTGAAAAATCGGTCACATACATCAACGATGTCAGAAGCGATTCTCAATTAATCGCGAGTTTTTCAAACATGTTCTATAGAATATTATCTGTCATTTACGTAATTTCCTGCTAATAATAAGTGATATGTGATGTAATGATGCGCACAGACTAAGCGAATGAACGTCAAATATATCTATGTATATATCTATTCAATAAAAAAACTTATTATGTTATATTATATGAAATACGGTCTTTGAATACTTTCATAAATATTTATTTTATTCGTTCTAATTACGTACTGAATACTTGAGAAATAAAAAAGTTGAAAGCTTTGATACCACAAGCGATTTAAGAAGATTATTGCCAGTTCCCCAGTTGATCCGATGAAAGGTTAACGTATCTTATTTTGTTCTAAATAATCGATTAGTTGATTCTACTTTGACATGCTTGTTTTCATCTATGAATGGTCTATGATGATGATGGTGAAATGATAGTGGATGATTGGTTTGGTTTGTTTATTGTGTGTTTGTTCGTGGAGTTTTATATTTATGTTAATATTCAACTTGACAATTACGTGTGTTTCTTCGACTAACGTTGATATTTGCATTACTTTTGGATTCCGAATGGCAATTGATTCGGTTATAACAATGACAGATCAATGTGTACATTGCCCTTATTTGTCACTTTCAGTGTAATGATTTAATTAAAGGCAATGGGATCTACTCCACACAGCCTAGTCGTATGTTATAAATGTTTCTTCTATTTTAAGTGTCTGAATCTTGTTAGATATGTAATTATTTTAATCTAGTTTATTTAACGGAATAACCTGGTTACCATTTTCATTTATTTTAACGTCCATTCAACGAAAAAGCAAAGATGCAATATTTAACCTCGCAAAGTATTTTATGCCATATCTTTTTAATCCCAACTTTTAAAGGAAAAATACGATGAGGATTTTGTTAGTTTATCTTATACCTACAAGTAAACGTTTATTTCATTCATGAACGGGACTTTAAAAATTCAGGTCCAGAACTATATGGGAGTTCGCCATTGTTCTTTACATATATTAACTATACAAACACCTGCATCAAGGAAGCGCTGAGTCCTTCGTAAAAAGCTAAAATTCCTCCACTGCGGTAAACGGCCTTAGCGCCATTTAGGAGTCCACGATACTGATCCTTCACAACCATTTGACGGAGACGAATCACCTCTAAAGGCATCGCAAGAGACGCACTGGCTGCGCCCGCTAAAGTACCACAACAGAACCTTAACATAGGTCTGCAAAAAGAATTAAGATATCTTGAATGCAAAATTGATCAAATATAATAAGGATTAAGATATTTTAACATGAATTCAGGCTGTACTACCAGTTTTCTTTATGTTTCCTTTAATGCAGTGACTAGTCTAAAAACTACTCTGACATCTGATGCGTGGAAGTGACCTTCCACGCTGGCCCAATGCAGATTAGAGGCCAGTAACGACTGCAGATGCAGCCGAGTTCAACGCCTTAACGTGCGTACCAAAGCACAGAGTAGTTCGAGTTGATAAAATTTGGTCACCCATCCCGTGACCGAATTTTGCGTAATATCTTATCCACTACGCTACCGAGCTATATCATTCTTAACCCAAAAACTACTCGATATCATGATATAAAAGTTACATGGTTTATATTCGTGAATAATTACATCAACATTGATTGGTTTAAATAAACTTAAATTAGACTAATATTGTCATTTTACTATTGATGTTAAAAAATAGAGAATTACATAGAAAAATGAAAATGAGAAAGTAGCTACATATTAGGTAGGTACTTCATTTTGATTGTCTTTTTGAACCTTTAGAGATATCTATGAAGGTCTCTCAAAACGATATAATATATGTAGTATACTAATATATGGTATATAGTATACTAATATATAATATACTAATAATATGGTAATAGATTCTGTATAAGTATACAGAATCTATTTTAAAGCTGTTGGTACTGCAATACATGTAATTAATTAAGAGGGCAAATCTAGTAAACGTTTTCGAATCCCATAAAATGTTAATAAAAGATTTTGCTTTAAATACTTTGTAGGCGTATAAAGAGCGCTTACTTGTATTTGCTGTCTACATTACTATCTTCTAATTGTTTTGTGGTTAACTCATACACATAGAATTGGCAAGTTACGGAACAAATCGATTGTAACTGAAAGTAAACGAAGAAAAAGATAAGTTATGATATAAAGTGAGTACTTAAAAACAATTCACTTAGCAACCAGCCAACTTTACATTAAAATGTAACAATATCAGGTATTCGACATGGGCTCTCAAGAGTTATCTTCAGTCAGATTGCTTTTTCAATTAAGCTATGATGCCTTAACGTAAATGTCGAATTTCATAAGTAGGAAATTAGACCAAAGAAAAAAATAATTAATAAAGTAGAGCTTATGCAGGCTTGTTTATTAATTATTTCATTATCATATCACCCTATACCTAGTATTATAATGTTTAGGTAAGCCCAAACTCGAATAAAAGTAGCAAAATCACAAAAGTGGAAAAAAGAAAACACCAAAAGGAGTGGAAATAGAACAAGCATTTAGACTGATTCAATGGACATATATAAAACTTCGACCAGATGTTGGCAATACAGATCCTAGGTTTAGTCAAACTTTAAAATGGTAGATGGATTGTTTTGTCTTTATGAGCTTATTAAGAAATTCAGTGAAATTTCGAATTCGTATTCTGCGTATCACCGATGTTTCAAATATAAAATTTTCTGACAGCTGCATTAGTTTCCTTTTGTAATGGTCATACATAATGACTATCCATTAAATATTGTGATGCTGTAAGCTTATATAATTGCACTTTATATTCCATTTGTACCTGACCAAGTGTGTAGCCTTGCCAAAATGCCTTAATACCTTCCTCCTTGAAAATCTTTCTAGTAGTGCTAAACATTCGTTTTTTGCATCTCACGATAATCTTCGGCTGCAGTTGTTGCCGTACTTTGACAACGTCCAAAGGTTGAGTAATGAACCGAGTAAGGACGCCAGAGAAACAGCCAGCTAATAATTTTTGAGTTTGAGATATATTGTCATATTTTTCATACCCTACCATCGTTTGTTTAAGGTCATGGTGGGCGTGGAAGACACGCAATGATTATCTGATCATTATAAAGCACCGGACTGCGTACATTGAACTTGCAGCAACCAGTAGTATAGCATTTTCGGGTGTATCAATTAGAATTTCTCTAATTTTTGGTGTCTCTTTGTTTAACCATACTTTTACTCTTTGGTTTGACCTATGGTTTGACGTTGTCAGCAGTCACAACACAGAATACTTTTTATACTTAGATCATAGAAGTGTCTATGATCTAAATGTTGATATTCGTACCTCAGAACAATTACTATAATTCTGAGAGCCATCAAGTGTTTATATCTGTTTAAATTTATTAAGGTATTTAAATTTTGCATTTTTGGATTATATACACCTTTAAAATAATACCAGAACTGTACCAGAAACAAAGATTAAAGTAACTAGAACCAAGAAGTTAATATGCTAGAAGATACATAAATATAAATAAATCCAAACTTCTTCATTAGGACTACAAATAAACATTATTTACCATGGATTTATTCATAATGACATAAATCTATGTTTATAATGATATAATGACTTTTAATGTTTATAATGATAGATCTATGTTAATTATCATTTAATTGCATTATTTTTGAATTTGATGGCACTGACAGTAAATATTATCATTCTTTTCTTTCTGCTTAAATCAAAATAGAAAATGATCTCAGAATTATAATTAAGAAATGGTATAATATATAACTGAAGATCAAATGCTTTAAAAATATAGAAAAAAAACTTTATTGCAATCAAATATAGAAACGATAATAGCACAAATACAAACAAAAACAGATACAACACTATTGTTTCGTACTAGAAAAAAATACTTATTAAGAAAATTACAGTAATTTTGCCGCCAGAAAATTAAAAGTTGGTAGAGATTTGACTACGACTTTATTCAATCTTATATAAAAAATTCTCGTTACCTTTTACGAATGCATTCTAAAATCATAAAAGTGTTGTTAATTTTAGAATTCATTTTAAAACACAATCTCTTAAAGGGATTTAACACAAATATTGCATTTACGCTGTTTTACATTGAATATTAAAATGAAAATTTACCCAAAAACAAATGAATAAATAACTTGAGAACAGTTTTGTTATTTGTATGAATTATAATTATGAATTCAAATAAAAACATTCCAAAAGGAATTATCTATCTTTATGGAGACGAGTTAAACATTTTAAAACTATTTTTATTTACACTGGTGTAACATGTTATTTTCGAAATTCAGCAAATACGCTTTAAATATTAAACAAGAGACATCCTATATTGACTAACTGATTGAAGTGCTATTCTGTTAAAAAACAGCCTAGAAGGCAACATAGAAGTATAACGTCTAAAAAAGGTTTTATTTCATTGAAGTTCAAAACTATATTTAATATAGAATAGCAAAGCTAGATGTGATAAATTTTAATCGCTATAGCAAGACGAGTGAGAGATTCTGTAGGTATAACAACGTGTTTTTATTTATTCTATAAATAATCACAGTTTTCTTATAAAGTTACAACATTCTAAGATACAAATAAAAGTTAACGTAAGTATACAGAATTCAAAATCTAGATAGATATTATCTTCAATAGGACCTTCACAGTACGCTTTGAATAAAATTCCATTAATCTTAGCAAAGCAGCTTATCACTATGCGGTTCTCCGACATCAAGAAGATTTCAAGGATCATAAAATAAGAAAATCTTTTCGTATACAAGCTAGAACCCGCGGTTTGGCCGACGTGGTCCGAGGGTACTACTGTGTGCTCACTGGCCTGCAATACTGCCAGTGAACATTCTCCACCTTTATATATATCATTATCATTAGCTTATTAACGTCCCTACTATTGGGGCATAGGCGTGTTCAATAGATGAAACCAATTATGGAGATCTACCGGTGTTTCTGTGGATAACGCGCATGTCTTTATAAAATAGTATAGGTTTTCTTCTATCCATTTTAGTGCGCAGTAGAATCGATACGCCTTGCAAAAATACAAGCAAATGTTTCAACTACAAATTATTTTTTTCATAGAAAAGAAAAAATAGCACTTTTTTTGAAGTCGTTTAATAATAACGTTGACATTTTGCTTAGACTAGATCTAAGCAAAATATTTTACTACTATTTATATTCAGGACTTTCAGGTATGGGCTTTCATTTTAAGGGCGTAAAACAGCCTGATGCTTTGCTTGTGCAAGATTCTATGACTGATCCTTAAAGCAACTTAACGGTCACCTTGTTTTTACTTTCTCATTTCAGCATTTTCACAGATTTTTGTACGTGACGCTGAATTAAATTATGCAAACATATATTTTGCCATCTCTTCGATTTGTAGGTATCGAACGAATCTAGTTTCGTCCACTACTTAAATCTGATAGTTTGAAGTTTAGTTATTATTATTTAACGACTTCATAAGAATAAGAGGAGGAGGTTCTCAGTGGGCCCATTTAAATTTTATCGAAATTGAATCCGTAGTTTTCTTTTTATAACTCAACATAATATGCTTTTCATCAGGTATCACCTATATTTTGATGACATGTTTATATAAGCGAAAGACAACGTACTTTACATTAATTCAAAATCCGAAAGGATTTTGAAAACCGATATCTTCGTGCATAACGTATGCAAATAAATAAAAATTTCAGGATTTGCGTTATGTAAATATAGTTTATTTTATATAAATACGTATTGGCGTAATGGCGTAATATTCATATATGTTGGTCTTTATATTTTTTTAGCTTTCAACTTAGGGTAACAAGTTTCATCAAATTCGTTTCAGTAGTTTTCAAGAGTCAAAAATTAACCGTCTTATAAAGGAGTTAAAATTGATGACGCTCTCTTTTATCAACTTCAAAAATGAGACAATCAGTTTACCTGAGTATGTACGTCATTAACTGACATAAAAAAAGGTTCTCAATTTGATCTGTACGTTTATAACCGACCTTAAAAGAAATAGATAATCAATTTGACTAATATGTAGGTATAGGTATTTAATTTGGATGGAATATGGCGCAACATTATATGCGCTTCTAAACACGTGTGCTATATTTTGTAGATGTATAATATGTGTGTATGTCTATACTTTAGACAATTTATTTCTCGTAAATTAGAATTTGGATTGAAATGATACTTTTTCGTTGACCAAATGTAATATTTTAATTTTTCGCCTTATTAATAATTCCGCATTATATTATATTATTGGAAAACCACAAAATTGAAAACGAAAGCTACTTTGATAAAAATAAGAAACAAATAATACAAAAATAAAAAAATCCCGTTTTAAAAGTATAGAAGCGTCATCTCTTGATCAGTAGCTCAGCTAAATGTAACATTTTCGAAATAACATATACATTTAATATTAGCAACAACCCTTTTGAATTATTAAAAAAATATTTAATCCTGTGAGTATAAATAATTTAAAACTGGTTTTGTAAAGAGATGACACGGAACATAATTATAATGACAAATTTAATTGTAAACAGTGGTTACTATGATTACGTTTTAATGCCTTCTAAGAAATTCCACTCTCATTCATCCCTTTAATTGTTATTTTTTGGGATAAGACAGACAAAAAACAGACATATACCATAGCGGACTTTTCAGAAAGGGCTTAAATTTCATAACACGATTTTTTAGTAACTTTCACTGGACGCAGCGCATGCAAGGAAAGCCCTCAAAAGTAAAATATTCTCCCGTTTTTGCAACATTTTTCATTGCTGCTCTACTACTATTAGTCAAAACGTGGTGTTATATAGCTTAATAGCCTTCCTCGATAAATGAACTATTCGACGTGACTATTCAATACAAATAGTTCTTAACATTGTAGAGTTCAACCAAACAAACTCTTCAGTGTACGAGTATTATAAGTTTATAGATAGTAATCAGTTTGTTTTTGAATCAAGCATAAGTCTCGTACCCTCTAATTAATTCCACTAATTAGCTCCACAAATTACTAATTAGTAAAGTCTAATCTGCTAACTGTGACCTCGCGGTTTGAGATGCTTTTAAAAAGGTGACGTTAAAGCATGTTTAAAGTCAGCTTCGTTACATTTTTTAGACTTTCTGTGCTACGAGAAAACTTATGCAATAAAGTAACAACGTCGAGCACTAAAAATGTGTATCTACATTTATATTTAATGTAAACATGTTTTCTATGAAGCGAGGATCTTATGCATAGAAATAAAATTTCATAATACGAGTTTCTGTGGCCTTATAAATATTATCAGCGGGCACAAAGTTGATTTAAGTGTTGTTTACAGATATGAAAAAAAATTAGGTTTGCTTTCTTTGGTGATAAAGATATTTTTATAGCTGTAGGTTTGACAAGGAACGTGTCTGAAATGAATGATAAGGATTTATTAATAAGATAAAGAGTCAATTGACATATGAACTCGTCTATTGTGCGATCTATATCTTTCGATATCGTAATGCAATATTTCGAAAAAAATATATATGTATATAACAATATTTTAATAAGTCACGTGAAGATGGAAAATAGGTTAGTGATTCAAAGTCTTAATATTTGGTTACCCAAGTCATCTTTTTATATTAACTTAATTTTACTAATATTTTATATAAAACGGGTGAAGGTTATACAGAAGATACTACGTGTTTTCAGAGTTTCAGTCTGTTTATTAAGTTAGTTTAGTTGAGTCATAAAGGCATTGAACATTTACCTGGGACAAGAAGGGCAAGAACGTGACATCAAACGTCTGAAACGCGCTTTCAAGAATCTATTTGAGATGCTCGAAGTTAAATATATACCTATGAATCAAAGACATCGTATATTTGTTTAATGTGTTGATCTCGTGATAGTGTATACTGCTCAAATTTGGACGCTCACCAATGTAAATATTGATGAACCGAGTTCTAGTTCATCAATATTTACATTATATCTCAAAGACCTATGGAGCAAGTTATACCTACTAGGTATACTAATAATTAAATACGAATTCAAATAATTATTTGATTCAAGTCTCTGTGGGAGAAAAAGT